TGGACTAACAAAAGAATTGGGGGCATTATGAGGAATTGTTAGAAACTATTAGATATTGCATTGTAAGAGCATTGTGGCGAACTACTCTCTCTGCATTGTGGGCGATATAAGGTAGTGTGGGGACATTGGAGGGGATTATAGGAACTAGGAGGTATTATATATGAGGATTGAGGTCAGTTGCAAAAAAACTGTCAAAAAAATGTTTTGCCCAAATTGAATATATTTCTTATAGGTCAGTGACGTTCATTCTTACGAAATACGGAATACGAAGCTCCTCAGACCTGATTTTCTTCGTCTCAATGCGAGTACATTCAAAATTCAAAAATGTAGTCAACCACAACGCAGCTTAACAAAGCAAACCTTCTACACTTTGAAGGCGAAACCATTTACTATATCTACAGACAGATGATTGTTCCGTTTAACTTTAACGTACGTTCAGGTGCTCTTTTAACTTATTAGCTGTATTTTATTGCTTATTATAATGATTGCATACATTTGCTGTTATGTATGTGACATGCTAATAAAATGAAATGAAATGATTTTCAGTGATGGCAATTTATGTATAATGTTAAAATTGGAAAAAGAATGTCAACCGTGATTACATATTAACTTTATCGCCATTTACATTGCGCAAAATTAACACCTGCACTTTTGACATTTTATCGCAACAGTGAAACCTTTGCCGATCTGTCCATCTTCCTACAATTACTTTAGACAGGCGCCTGCAGCCTCATATTATCTGTTATTAGATGGATGATGTTACGATACAAAAATTCATATCTTTTGCATCATAGAAATTATGATTGTAAGTTTCTGGGATAAAAGTAGTGAGCATAACAAAAAAAAACACAACGGCACGCGGTGTTCCCAAGCGGTCACCCATCCAAGTACTAACCGCGCCCGACGCTGCTTAACTTCAGAGATCGAACGGGATCTGGTGTATCAGCGTGGTATGGCCGTTGCATGTAAATTTTATTTAATCCCAGGTACATTTAGTGTATCAGAGTCGTTGTAAGTGCATTGATTAAATATGCTTAAAATCTAGAACAATTTACCGCTAATGCAACTCCACTACCGTACCGTAAAGTAATCCCCTGCAGATTAGATTACATATTTACCAAAAATAAAGGTTGGTTCGTTTGATATTATCCGCTATTAGCCATTAATATATGTACCCTTTTTGGGAGATATAATTTGTTTGAGTGTCATTCGTATTCATAAATGCGTATTGGGGAAACATTCTCGTCGATTAAACCGCGTCGTATCAATTCAGTAGTCCCCGAATGTCGACGCTGGAGATAAAGTTTTTTTATTAGTTTATATGCATGTGTCGCTTAATGTACAAAAAATATGTCGTAAAACAAAAAATAACACGCCAAACAACAGTCGAAAAATAATTGCAACACTTTCCATATTGTTTGAATTTCCGATTCTAATTTGTAGTGTGTGGTAATGTTAATTCACGCAGTATCCGAGTATAAACTTTGAAACGACTGAAATTTACATGCAACGGCCATACCACGCTGATACACCAGATCCCGTCCGATCTCTGAAGTTAAGCAGCGTCGGGCGCGGTTAGTACTTGGATGGGTGACCGCTTGGGAACACCGCGTGCCGTTGTATTTTTTTAATTATTTCTTGCGCAAGTTCCATTGTATAAGCTTCAAAAAAATTAAATTTTACATGCAACGGCCATACCACGCTGATACACCAGATCCCGTCCGATCTCTGAAGTTAAGCAGCGTCGGGCGCGGTTAGTACTTGGATGGGTGACCGCTTGGGAACACCGCGTGCCGTTGTATTTTTTTGTCAATTTCACATTTCCAATATTTCATTACCTATTTTATTAATTATTTATTTGAATTTCGTTTATTTGTTGAAATTTATTTTAGAAGTTTTTGTTTTGTTTTTTTGTTATAATCATAAGTTCAAAAATTGATTTGCGTCATCTATAATATTATTTATCAAATCAGAGGGTGGACTACACTATTGTTTGTCGATATACAATAATAACAAATAACGATATAATTAAGATAAACTCAAGAGGAACATGAAGCGTGATGAAGAGGTGTTGTTGACCTATTATATCTCTTGTATAATTAAAAAACAAATTTTTGAAAAAATGCACAAATCCAGCAAATATGTTATTAAATTAAAATGAATTTTGGCAAGTTGATATTTTCAGAGCGTTTCTTTTTGTTTCATCTTTTTCAGTGACTAGTATTTTCGCATTTTAAAAACCAAAATTGTGTAAATTATCTATAGAATGTTTACTTAAAGCGGTGAAATTATAGTTTTGATTTTTAACATCATATTTAAATCCTTTTAGGTCAATATATAGATATAGATTGTTTGCCTTTACAATAAATTTTTAATTCCAGATTTTGGTTTTAATTTGCTGATAATTGTTTCAATTATATTAGAGGGTTTTTGAATATTTTATGATACATCTTGTACTGAAAAGTCCTGTTTAGGGTGGTCAGATTTATTGTGATGAAATTGGTAGTAAATTTTATGGATTCTTTTATAATACTACTAACAAAATATTTATCATAATTACTTTCTTTTAAAACGTGTATGTTTTTAAAATTTTCATGTTTTTTTTTCTGGATGTGACAAAAATGACTGCTCTTTCTTTGAGGCCAATTACTAGTATCTTTGAGGTCATATTGGTTTCGTGTATCAATGAGTTTCTGAAATCTTCTTCTTCTTCTTTTTGTATCTCTAAATTTGTGACACAGTCATCAACATGTTAGTTTTCTAAATTGACAATGATCGAAGAGGTTGGTGAGTCCGTACTTGTCTCGAAAACTTGAGAAGTTTTTATATATGAGTTATATATAAGTATTCATGTTATTATATTAATTTGACTTTTTATCAAAACAATATTGACACTTTTACAAAAATGGAGGAATGTGAAAAACATGCAGTTCTAAAACACTGAAGGGTTTACCGTCTTTTAAAATACAAAAGGAGGTGGAATAACACACTGAAAGGCACTTCGCCATCGTATTCAATGGTTAGAAGATTAATTGATGGAGAAAATAGCGCTTAAAGACTGCAGATTAAGATTATCTGAAATAGTGGAGACTGTAAAAATATGATAAGAGCACGTTGGAAATATTTTTAAAAATATTTTAGCTCAGGAGAAAGCTTTACGCAAAAGAGGTCCGCGTTTGCTAACGTCTGAGCACAAGAAAACAGGAAAACGGTCCGCAGTGAGAATTTGGCATTTGATAAACGAAATTATGATTAATTTTTGCGTCTATTTATAGGTAACGATGAACATGGACCCATCACAATACTAGTAAAAATAAAAAATAGTCAAGACAGCAACCGGGGAACCGACTTCAAAGGAGACAAATTGATTTTTTTTATTTATTACCTTGAAAAGGGTAAAATCATCATGGCAAGCAAAAAAAATAAATAAAATAAAATAACGACGACACTGGGCGAAAAAATTCACAACCTTCATTCACCATGATAATTTACCAGCACATTCACGAATTAAAATTGGAATTTCCTCTTCATTCACCTTATTCGCCCGACTTAGCACCTGGTGACTAGTCTATGCTCCCTAACCTCAAAATGTTGCTGCTGTGTATTTATTACATTTGTTATGTGCTAATATATGTATTAATTTATAAATAAAATAATTAAATAAAAAACGTTTTTTTATTATCGGACCGGGGAATTATCAGTTTTGTAAAACTAATTTCCGATTGAAACTTAAAATCTCAATTTATTGTGGTCTCGGAATTTTTCCATTAAAATTAAAAAAACGGTCGCTTGACAATGCGTCTATATTTACGAACAAATCGTCGTTACTTATCAAAGTAACTGCGTCATTTTTAACGGAATACGAATGGTCCAATTATGGTAATGCAAGGGTGCTTCAAAAATAGTTTATTATTATTTTTCCGCCATTAGGGAACATCTGTTTTGGTAACGGCTTGGCCACAACAGGTTTTCCGCTCCGCCGTTGTTGTGTAATTAATTTTTCCGTCTTTAATTGCGATAATAATTTTTTATAACGCCCACCCTATTTAATTAAATAAAAGCTAGTTATAAACCAATCTATGCAAAAAAATTGATTAAAATTCTGAATATACAATTTGTTTTGAAGGTGCTAGCCGTGATAAATCAAGATATATTATTTAGTTTTAAATTTAAAACCATTTTTGAAAAGATTTATATTATTAATTTTATACTCCTTTTTCTGTATGTTATTAAAAAAACACAGCATAATTTACATTCTGTAATAATCTTGCTACTAATATTCTGCAGTAACTGCAGCTTCCTACAAGAACATGTATCTACGTCGGTGCTGTTGTAGCGTAAAAACAATTAGGGAAATAATATTTCAACAGCTAATATTACTATGAAAATATTAATAGATAATGAATAATAGATAGGGAAAAAGAAAAAATATATTATGGATATTAATAGTTAAACAAACCTTATATAAGCTTATAAAAAAAGTCGATAACAAAAAATTTTTCAGTTTTTTTGAATTTGCGGCGCACCCTGTATATTTTCGAAAAATTGTCACGCATAAAAGTTTATACAGCTGTATCTTCTGCTTCTTCTGGTTAAAGAATTTTTTTGGTCTCGTAAACGGTTTTTGATAAATGATGTTTTTTGTAGACCCTTGCAAGCGCGATTTTTTATTTTTTTAGAATACTTCCCAACCCCCAGCCCTCCCATTTTCAATAGGTTCTGTCACGGGGCAAAGCTGCACATATGTGCCAAACATGAAGGCGATTGCTTCAAATTTCGGACACTTGTCGTGTTTCATAGCAAGGTCCAAAAAACAGTCGAAAATCGCGAAAAAAAGATGGATACCGACGTCGGATCAAGGCCATTTCTTATAAGTTTATGTGCCTCGTGGAAGGTTAAAAAGGAGGCAAATTTCAATTTTGTAGCTCCAACGGTTCGAAAGCTATTGAGGAAAAACCAAAATCCGTGAACGGAGAGCAACATATATGACTATAACTTACACATCTCTCTGCCCAGCACCCACGTTTCCGGTTTGGAATTAACCTCGACCAGAACTGTAGGGGTACACACCAAGAGCACCATCAGGTCCGCCACACTTAAATTCACTAAGAAAATGTTCGTGCTGTTGCGCATATCTTTTGTTTTGAATATCACTATCGGCACCATCACGTTACCGATCACACCGAGGCACATTATTATTATGCAGAACACCTGAAAAGGAACATGGCTATACAAAATCACATACTGAACAAGAATACAATAATATTTGGAAGATTAAGAAATTCGAAAGCAATTTATAAATCGGAAATCTGATATCCGCATACACTACATGCTAATGCTAAAGAGAATATCAAAATTTAATTTTGAATTTTTGAGCGATAGTAATATAAGCAATGTAGTAGGGACCCAAATAAAAAAAATTGATTTTGGAAAAAATAAAAAATAATTTATTTTTACGTACAGTATGTCTACATTTAGCTGTTGTTTTGTTTTTCTTACGCTTTTTGAAGTATAATAATTTCTAATTGGATAAGTTTATGTTATATTTTAGTAACAAAATTTGGAAAAAATCAAACTGTTTAATTAGCTAAAAATTTAATAGAGACCAAAACGGAAATTGTGATTTTGGAAAAGAATGATTTATTTTTTTATACAGTGTACAAAATTTAATTTTTAATTCGTTTTTCTGGCACTTTTTGTGGGATAATAATATCTAATTTGATATATATGATGATGATTTGATATATATATATATATATATATATATATATATATATATATATATATATATATATATATATATATATATATATATATATATATATATATATATATATTTCTCTGATAATCTTTAATTTATGTCATTACTAAATTGCTAACTAATTAAGCAATTGTTTTTTAATAACTTTTTTACTTACAGAAAATCAAGGTTTACCAATTAGATATTATATATATGACGACACTATATTCCGGGATATTATCCGTTCGCTTGTTGAACTCCGATTGGAACCCTGCAGACGTTTCGCCAAAATCTCACTTGGCATCTTCAATGCTCGCGCTCCGAAAACATTTTCACGTGTTGATTCACGGATGGAAAAATGTGATGACACTATATTCCGGGATATCATCCGTTCGCTTGTTGAACTCCGACTGGAATCCTGCATCCGACTGGAATCCTGCAGTCCAGTTGTTCGAAGTGTTTTCGGAGCGCGAGCATTGAAGATGCCAAGTGAGATTTTGGCGAAACGTCTGCAGGATTCCAGTCGGAGTTCAACGAGCGAACGGATGATATATATATATATATATATATATATATATATATATATATATATATATATATATATATATATATATATATATATATATATATATGATGACACTATATTCCGGGATATCATCCGTTCGCTCGTTGAACTCCGACTGGAATCCTGCATCCGACTGGAATCCTGCAAATCTTGCATCCGACTGGAATCCTGCAGACGTTTCGCCAAAATCTCACTTGGCATCCTCAATGCCCGCGCTCCGAAAACACTTCGAACACTGGGAGGTTATCGGCGGTGCGTGTGGTATTTATACTCTGCGCCGGAGATGGTAACGGTGCTGCTTGTGCGTGGGGGGAGGTGGCTCCGCCCCCTGAATTGTCGCGTTGTTAATTTCGCCCGATCGTAGTTGCGATGTCCCCGTTGGCTGCTGCGCATCGCTCTGCTGTTTGATTATCGTTCTCCACGTGTTGGATAAATGCAGAGCGTCGTCTCTCGTATTGAGGTGTCCGGACTTTTCTATTTCGATGGCCTCTCGTATTATCCTAGTCCTAAAATCAGGAATATTAGCTATTTGTTTGCAAGTGCCGAAATCAATTTTATGGCCTGTCTGATGTTGGTGCTGAAACAAAGCCGATGTTGTTTGTTTGTTTCTTATGGCTAAACGATGTTCCTCGAGCCTGGCTGAAATTCTTCTGTTGGTCTGTCCCACATACGTCAGGCTGCACGATCCGCATGCTACACTGTATACTCCTTGGTTTTCCAGAGTAATTTTTTGTTTTGGGTTTCTTAGTATTGCTCCGATGGTATGGTCAGGTTTGTATGCCGTTGATATGTCGTGTTTCCGTAATATTCGGCCGATTTTGTCAGTAACTCCCTTGATGTATGGCAGGACAGCGATCGATCTTCGTTGGGTCTCGTCCTGCACTCTCTGCTGCGGCTGTTGTTGTTTATTGATTGCCTTGTTGATGGTGCGCCTTTGGTATCCGTTTTGTTGAAGACAGGTACTAATTTTCTTCAGTTCTTTATCTCTGTTCCTCTCGTTTGTGAGCCTGAAGGACCGAGCAATTAATGTATTTGCCACTGCCTGTATCTGTGATGGGTGGTGATGAGATTTAGCGTTCAGATATCTATTAGTGTGTGTTGGTTTTCTATAGACAGTGTGTTCCAAGTGTCCATCTTCGGTCCTTGTGATGTGCACATCTAAAAAGGGCAGACTGTTATCCTCTTCAAGTTCTATTGTAAATTGAATCCTTGGGTGAATGGAATTCAGATGATCTAGGAATTTCAAAAGCTCCTCCTTGCCAAAAGGCCATACAACAAATACGTCATCAACGTATCTTGTCCATAGTTTTGGCTTCAGATTTGCCTTCTCTATTGCTTTCTTTTCGAAGTAAATCATGAAGAGGTTGGCAATCACAGGTGAGAGAGATGATCCCATTGCTGCTCCATCTATTTGTCGGTAAATTTTCCCGTTGTGCATAAAGTAAGCGTTTTTCAGGCAATGTCTTGACAGATCCATTATGTATGGAGGAAGATCTTCGTTTTCTTCTATAAGCAAGAGTGCCTCTTCTACTGGAATACTCGGGTAGAGGGATTTGACATCGAAACTTGCCATAATGTCGTCCTTGTCCATCCTGAGAGAACCTAAAATCTGAGTGAAATGTTCTGAGTTTTTAACATAGGAATCTGCCTTTTCCACTATAGGCTGAAGTGCACTGGCCAGATGTTTTTCCAGCTTGCATAATGGTGAGTTAAAGGCGCTTACGATTGGACGCAGGGGAACCCCGTCCTTATGGATTTCGGCACTTGCAAACAAATAGCTAATATTCCTGATTTTAGGACTAGGATAATACGAGAGGCCATCGAAATAGAAAAGTCCGGACACCTCAATACGAGAGACGACGCTCTGCATTTATCCAACACGTGGAGAACGATAATCAAACAGCAGAGCGATGCGCAGCAGCCAACGGGGACATCGCAACTACGATCGGGCGAAATTAACAACGCGACAATTCAGGGGGCGGAGCCACCTCCCCCCACGCACAAGCAGCACCGTTACCATCTCCGGCGCAGAGTATAAATACCACACGCACCGCCGATAACCTCCCAGTGTTCGAAGTGTTTTCGGAGCGCGGGCATTGAGGATGCCAAGTGAGATTTTGGCGAAACGTCTGCAGGATTCCAGTCGGATGCAAGATTTGCAGGATTCCAGTCGGATGCAGGATTCCAGTCGGAGTTCAACGAGCGAACGGATGATATCCCGGAATATAGTGTCATCACATTTTTCCATCCGTGAATCAATACGTGAGAATATATATGTATATATATATATATATATATATATATATATATATATATATATATATATATATATATATATGATGACACTATATTCCGGGATATCATCCGTTCGCTCGTTGAACTCCGACTGGAATCCTGCATCCGACTGGAATCCTGCAAATCCTGCATCCGACTGGAATCCTGCAGACGTTTCGCCAAAATCTCACTTGGCATCTTCAATGCTCGCGCTCCGAAAACACTTCGAACACTGTTCGAGTGTTCGAAGTGTTTTCGGAGCGCGAGCATTGAAGATGCCAAGTGAGATTTTGGCGAAACGTCTGCAGGATTCCAGTCGGATGCAGGATTTGCAGGATTCCAGTCGGATGCAGGATTCCAGTCGGAGTTCAACGAGCGAACGGATGATATCCCGGAATATAGTGTCATCATATTTTTCCATCCGTGAATCAATACGTGAGAATATATATATATATATATATATATATATATATATATATATATATATATATATATATATATATATATATATATATATATATATATATATATATATATATATATATATATATATATATATATATATCATTTCTACAAATAATATTCCCACAAAGTTGCTAAAAATAAATATATATAATATAATTAAAGAAGTATGAAAATTATGACTACAACATTTGAGTGGCCTAAAACACTCTGTATTATATCTACGTGTACGAGAAACTGTTGCTGTTGATCGTCAAAGACAACAATTGTAGAAATGTAGAAAATGTAGAAATCTTTAACTTACGGAAATATATATATCACTATTTCTTATGACCGGTTTCTAGGAAATAAATTGATTTTAAACAAATAAAGAACGAATTTAATTACATGTAGAACTAAATATATTAAAGAACACTCAATTCTTAGGTTTAGAAATTAACGAGTTTCTCGATTGGTCTGTACATATTGATGATTTGCTAAATAAATTAAGTTTAATTTGTTATGGAATTAGAGTCGTTGCAAACTATATGAATATGCAAACTTAAAAAAATTATCGTCTCACAGATATAATAATTTTAATGTAAATGTCCCAATTCACCGTCTCACCTTAACTGAAAGGAGTTCTTTAAATGCACCACAAAAAAAAGTTATTTTTGGATTTAGAACTTATTCCAAGATTTCTGTAAACTTGAAATACTGTTTATTCAACAAAGTACATAATTGAAATTTGTAATAGAATCTAGTGTTTTTACCTTTTTCAACGCCGATTTCCTTTGTGTTTTGAATATTATTTTTATGTAATTTCTGTGCAATACAATGTTATTATTTTTAGTATTATTGTTCTGCTTTCACTGTAAAACACTATTCTTGTGTTATTTATAATTGTGTATTTCGTAATATAATATTTTCAAACATCCGAAAGCATAATAGAAGAAATAAAAACATACACAGCCTAAAAAAAATAATAATGTGGCTTAACAACCACGGAAAGTCCAGAAAACTAATTCTTAATAAATAAAACGAGCAATAAGTTTGAACGTGGCAACAGATTTACGTGCGTTTAGACTGTGTCTACTTGTTGAGTCCTTTATCATTCTGGTCTGTTTTTAAACAAGGTGTGTTCAAAAAATAATTCTATGTACATTCGATCTTTGATTGCTTTTTTGTTATATTGGTATAATGTTCCTTACATATGTTTGCAGTTTCAGCCATTTGGCACGTTGACTTTTTTTTCTGAGACAGTAGTGTGTAAAGAATGGAATACAGTGCTGCAAAACACTTGAAATGTTGAAAGCGGCATATGGTAAATCTACTTTGAGCAAAAAAATGTTTATAAGTGGTACAAGCTATTCCAAGATGGCCGAGAAAACGCCGATTACGAAACCTCGCTCTGGACACCCCAGCACGTCAATAACGATGTTAAAGAAGTGGTATTGAAAAATCGTCGAATCATTATTGACTAGTGCCATGGAATTTTTTCTCAAGCTTTTGGCATGAAACGTGTAACAGCACAATTTGTTCAGAAACTGTTCATTTTGAACAAAAGGACCATCGAAGGAGCATCGCTCAAGAGCTGTTAAACGGCGTTAATGATGATCTTGATATTCTCAAAAAGGTCATAACTGGTGACGAATCATGAGTATATTGTTATGACGTCGAAACCAAAGCCCAATCGTCCCAATGGAAGAATCCAGAATCGCCAAGACCGAAACAGCATGTCAAGTTCGATTAAATATCACGGTTTTACATATTGTTTTCTTTGATTCTTACCATAAGGTCGTATGGTTAATAAATTACCTCGAAGTTATGCGCCGTTTGCGAGAAACCATACGAAGAAAACGTCCTGAATTGTAGGATTCATGCATTTTGCATTACGATAATGGACCTGCTCACTTATTGTTGTTTGTGTCTAACTTTTTCCGACTTTTTGCGACTTTTTCCTATTCCCAAAACTCAAGAAACCCATAAAAAGAAGGAAGTTTGGAACGATTGAGGAGATATGGAAAAAAACGCTGGAAGAACCCAAGGCTAAACCGGAAAGTGCTTACCAGAAGTGCGAGAATTGGAAAAAACGTTGGCACAAGTGTATTATATCTGGGAAAAAGTCACTTACTTTTTGAACACACCTCGTATAATGTCGTCTGGTTCTTACCATCGACGTGGTCCTAATGTAGTTCGGGAAAATCGGAATGGAAAACGATACGTTTCCGGAGATGTTGAAAGACGAGTTGTAAGCGAGGTTGCCGACGCCGCCGCCATCTTGGAGCTCCTGCGTCGAGGTGGTGTAGAAGTAGTTGACGGTCGTTGTGTTCGCTTCGAGTGGGTTGGCGCTGATATTCAAAGTCGTCGTGGCTATCGTGACGATTGATGAAATCATATCATAGTTCGCTGCGTGGGTTTGATGTTTCCGTCGAAGATAGTTGATGGCGCCCCGTTTTCTGAAACGTACGAGGCCATGAAAAAACAACAATTTCGGTAACTTTGATGTATGTGATTTATTTTGATTAAGTCCTCCTGGGTGTCGGCCGTTCTTCGTCACTTGTCCTAAACGATTTAAGTTTCAACTTTTATATACGCAAAATCCAACAAAACGAGAAAAGATGAATGAGATGTAGTTTTCGCTGATTTTTTTATATTCACTATAAATTTTTGTTTGCGTGGGTGCCAAGTGCCAATTTTTTTTTCTTAATTATATATGAAAAAAGCTTATTCCAAATGGAACACACATTTAAATGTCAAACAAAACACCACAAGCAAGAAATAAGAATAAATTGCTGATTTTCACGTCATCACACATTACGGGATCTGCTTCACACATTGTATACTTATTTTGCAATCACACTATTTGCAATTTCTTGTACGCTTTAAGAATATGTTATGCAACAAGTTTTTTAAGCTTTTTACTATATTTTGTAGCTTTTGACTCTCAAGTCGATTTATTTTTGACTAAATTTAACTAAATTTCCCTAAATTTTGTGCCCCAGGGTGGCTGTTGTGTCCCACTCTGCCCTATTTATAATGTTATATATAATAATTATAATTATTTAAAATTTAAAAAAATTATAATATTAAAAATGTTATTGATTAGTAACTACGTTTCTATCCATTAAAAATTTTTTATTGGTATTTATTACGCAAAGGGCTAAAAATAACAAATAACCAGAATTTATAATTATTAAAAGAAAATTCGAAAAAGTAAAATTTTGGTTAATTTTTGCGGTGGGCCTCCTTGCCTCACCCTCCCTTACTAATGCCGGTTGTTATTTTAAAAAATTTAAGAATAATTCTTAATATTTCCTTCTGACAGATATTTTATTTATTCTTATTGGTCAAACTGTAGAATTCCAGTTAAAAGATTATTTTCGTCCTCTCCGACTTGTGATGAAAATGATGATAATATAGCATACAATAGAATAGAGGTGTAATAATTAGAAAGTATTTCTCTATTTAGAATTTTTGATATATCTCTATTCTAGTATATTAATACCCTTTGCTCTATTCAAGAAAATTATTTAAAAATATCAGACATTTTTTTAGGCTGTAGTAGTACATTGCACAGAGTTAGAACCTGCACATGTGTTAGATTATTATTTCTTATTATAATAATAAAAAAGTACTTGCGTATTTACAATTTCTGTGTATCTGTATTATGTATTTCTGTATTCTAGTATAATAAGACCCTTTTCTGTATTCTAGTATATTAATACCCATTTCTGTATTCAACAAAATTAATTAAAAATATCAGATATTTTTTAGGCTGTAGTACCTTGTACAGTGCTAGAACGGGCACAAGTGTTAGATTATTATTTATTAGCGTAATAATAAGAAGGTATTTGCGTATTTACAATTTCTGTAGATCTATGTGTATTATATATTTCTGTATACCTGTATTGTAGTATAATAAGACCCTTTTCTGTATTTAACAAAATTATTTAAAAATATTAGATATTTTTCTTAGGCTGTAGTACATTGTACAGTGTTAGACCTAGCACAAGTGTTATATTATTATTTATTAACATAATAATAAGAAAGTATTGTTGTATTTAGAATTTCTGTGTATCTGTATTCTAGTATATTAAGACCCTTTCTGTATTCAACACAATTATTTTAAAATATCAGATATTTTTTTTAGGCTATAGTATATTGTACAGTGTTAGACCTAGCACAAGCGTTATATTATTATTTATTAACATAATAATAACAAAGTATTGGTGTATTTAGAATTACTGTGTATTTGTATTCTAGTATATTAAGACCCTTTTCTGTATTCAACACAATTATTTTAAAATATCAGATATTTTTTTAGGCTGTAGTACATTGTACAGTGTTAGAACTGGTACAAGTGAAAGAAAAGTATTTGTGTATTTAGGATTTCTGTGTATCTGTATTCTAGAATATTAAGACCCTTTTCTGTATTCAGCAAAATTATTTAAAAATATCAGATATTTTTTGAGGCTGTACTACATTGCAGAGCTAGAATTGGTACAAGTGTTAGATTATTATTTATTAACGTAATAATAAGAAAGCATTTGTTTATTTAGGGTTTCTCTGCATTTGTATTGTACTATATTAATACCTTTTACTGTATTCAACAAAATTATTTAATTTTTGATATGGCCTAAACCGGCTACACTTAATAATATGGTTTGAACCAATGATGAACACATAAAGTATGAAAGGCAGTGATAAATGCTGCATTAATCTATCATACTTCGTCACCATACATACATACATATTAGCTATAAAATGTCTAAATTTGCAGATCAACCAATAAACAAATGTTACAGCAGAACCAGAGCAAATTGACAGCTTCAATAAATTATCTGACATTTCTAAATATCATCATTTAGAGCTAGAAGTAATTAAGAAGCACGTCCGGTAAGCTAAAAAATATGGCGTGCCATTTAAATTTATCAAGTCATAGTCATACACCATACATAGTAGCTTGTACGGCGTAGGAGCGGCGATAAGTTACTAACCAACATAAACTAAGTAAGCGCTAAACGAAATAGGCGGTCTAGACTCGGACGTTCTTCAGTTATCTTCGCTCTTCTTCGTTAGATGGGATAAATGGGTTCCGTTATTTATTGAAAGGAGTAATACGGGTACTAAAATGGAAGTAACCCGCATTCAGCGGCTTACAAGTATTTATTTTGAGTTGACAATATAATGCGTATCGCGTTTTGGTTTCTGTAAACCTTACGATATTATTGTCCCACGGACACTTGTATGCTTTCGCGAAATGAATGGGTCGGTTACTCCATAAATGAGGATTTAGACGGCGACCAACTCCAAGAGAATGTGAATTATTTAGGAATGTGATCTGCGATCATGTCCGCAATGTCTTTTTATAACTATCCGGCGTACCATATCGAGTTTTGTTTGTTTTATACGCTTGTAGTTTTTATAAGCATTTGTTTAAATGTTGTGACAATAATAATAACAATTTTATTTTCTAATGAAGAGAGGTAATTTGCAAAAACTATAGGCGAGTTCTGGAAAGTGTAAAGCGTGAGAAAAAATGTTGCTTTATAAGAAACCGACAAAATATTTAAATTATGGGGAGAAAGATAACAGGTCTCAATCTTCATCGTGTTGGCTGCATTGTTTCTCTATCGTGCCCCTGCGTACCACTATGCAACTTTCGCAAAATCGATGTAATTTAATCCTGTCGAATTTCAAAGTTACTTGATACTTTGGTAAGTATTAAAATATGTACTGGTTATTGTGATTTAAAATGATATTTTTTCAAATATCTAGCGCACATTCTACGGTAGAGGAAAACTGAAACTCTCTCTCGACACTGTTTACGATACCGTTGAAATCATATTATCCTATCTTTCACGCTTTTCCATTTATCGCCAATAATTTACCTACAAAAACCGAATTTCTTAGGATCTTTCAGAATTTTTCAATATAAACGACTCACCATGTATATAATTCAAAGAATGTTCGAAATAGAGGTTATAGCCAGTGCTATAACCTCTAGATCCTGTTTTTTAATAGAGTAAATGGTTTTCGAGAAAAGACTTAGACAGTACGTACGTACGTCGTACTAGTAAATGACGTCATCGTGTCTAGGGTGAAGTCGAGAAACAATGATTTTCATTTGCATTTTTTCAAATGTCTCCAACAGCGTATGTGATAGACGAAAACTGTAAATACTACAGCCTATGATACAGCCTATAACGCTCTTTGAACTAATTAACCATATTTTTTACGGATTTCGATAATTTAATGCCGAAAAGAACAATTTTCAGTTTCTGTTAGATTTTTGTCTAAAACCGCGTTTATAATCGAGAAAATGTGTGAAATTAAAGTTATAGTCCCGCATCTCCAGCATTTCCTGGTTCACAAATTTTGCCGATAGGATTAATAGTTGCGAGGAAAATACATAAAATAAAAAAAAAATACTTCATGAGATTTAAGTGAGCCCCGTTTCAATAGTTGGAAAACGGGAGTGATCTTGTACCTTGTCGCCAAATCTGAAGTCAATAATAGCTGCAAATTAAGGGCACCTGTTAATTTTTCAATATAGCATCTTGAACACCTCTCTAGCCTTTCTAGACATAGATTTCTTCTGATTGCACGCTTTTGTACTATAAACACTTTTTCAATGTCTCTGCAACTCTCATACAGCAGTATTTCATAGTCAATGTGATTTTCAACAACATTTGCATGATACAACATCTTTTTCGTTTATACAAAATACAAGATGCTTTTATTTATTGCTGAGACATATCGTACATCTGTGTTACGTTACCCCAATGCCTTAGACAAGACATTAGACACATTCCACGCAAAGGGCTGTAGAGTCAAAACACCATAACATTGATTGAAGACCAGTTACAAAAAACAAGAGATCTTTGTGTTTTTTATGCTTTGGATTTGCATTTTTTTTGTTGAAAGAGTGTCTAACGAACAATACGAACGTTCCATTACAAATAATTAATTCAAGGAATTTTATCCTTACGTCATGGAAGTATTTTAAATAAATAAACGCACGTGGGACTGAATGTATCAGGGAGATATTGAAAGTTGTGATTATTTATTTAATAATATTAATAACAATAAATAAATTTATTGCTTTGCCAACTACATATTATTGCACTACAAGATATTAGATTAGACCACTTTTAAGGCAAACGAAAGCCTAATAAAACTCACGCTTCAATTTAATGAACGAGAAAAAAAAAAAGAATCAAATAAACAAAATTAAATATGTTACGCAGCGATTAGAATGCATTAATCATTAAATATAATTTTCAATAAAGAGAAAAATCACAGGACAAAAGAGAAAGGAGGGGGTGAGGGTAAACAGCAGAGTGGTTTTTCGATACAGAAATTATTAAGTTTTTAAAAGTTTTGGTCGATTATGTTAAATCGAAAAGACTTGAATTATTTATTGCATGTGCAATGCTACAAGAAAATGATCTTT